AATGAATAAAATCGCATTCTGGTTTTTAAAGCCATATTTGACATTTGAATCTGTAAGGGACTAGAAGAGACCTAACAGCGGTTAGTTAGCCGAGGCTGTCTATTCATAGATAGCAAAAGGCCCTTTTGAAAGCGTTCTAGACTCTGACCTGTTCTAGCTCTTTTAGACTGTTCTAGTTCTTCTAGACTATTCTAGAGTCTGGAAGTGCTTACTGCTTACAAATCTGAGAAACAGGATTGAAATAAGATTAAAAAAACGTTTTGAGTTAAGAAAAAAAAATAGGACTTCATTGGAAACATGTGAGCTGACATGAAATGCCTTGGGGATTTGTGAACAGGGGCCATAAGATCAAAGATTCCCAGCAAGTGAAAAGCAATTCTCGCATGCTTGAAGAGGAGCATGGAGCAAAGAAAGTCTGGCCTACCTCAATGGCAGGATTGAGCGCAAAAGCTTCCTGTTTCTCTTGCATCTTCTGCATCCGCTCCGCTACTTGCCGGAATGTTGATCTCCAGTCTTCAATGGGGTCATTTCTGAGGTCCAGAGAAACACGGAAGAGGAAGGACTGCCTGTGAGGATCTGAAGGAAAGGCCTCAGCTGGCAGTTCAGCTCAGTGAGGGAGTGGGGTCAGAGGTCAGCTACTTCACAGAGAAATATTTGGAGCATCTGGGGTGGAGTGTCCCTGAACTCCAAGGACTGGGTTAATAATACCTCCAGCAATGAAGCCAACATTCAAGTTTCAAGTTCCAGCCAGAAGTCAAGGGTCAACACTACCACCTTATATTCCATCTTAGACTCCTTTGAAACCCTTGCCATCCTTTGAAATACATCCTAGAATCTCCCCGAGGAGTGAACCCCTGCTACCTGATGGAGGAATGCTGGTCCCTAGTGAGATATAAAGTCACGCTATTAACTGTAGCATCTGTTGGTGACTAATCAGGAACAAAGCAATGTGTTAAGGAGACAAGAGAGCTAGTACAGTCTATGTGCTTAGCTACAGACTGTGGAATCTCGAAAGCATGAAGGTCTTCCGAAGTGGGGGATGCTTTGTGATTTGCTCCATGTGGCATGGCCTCAAAGACTGAGCCCACCCTGCACACAGCATCCCTGGTTGTACCTTATCACATCTGACAAGAGTCCATCCCTTTTCAAACTGTTTCTTTTATTGTGTGTATGTGTATGTGTGGTGTGGGGTGTGTGTTGGGGTGTGGGGATGTGGGGAGGTGTATGTTCATGTATATGTAGGCACTTGTGTGCGGCTCTACACACACCTGTGTGTGGAGGTCAGAGTTCAACTTTAGCTACCATCTTCAATTATTCTCCATCTTATTTTTTTGTTTTTTTGTTTTTGTTTTGTTTTGCTTTTTTGAGACAGGGTTACTTTGTGTTGCTTTGGACCCTGCTCTGGAACTCGCTCTGTAGACCAGGCTGGCCTCGAACTCACAGAGATTCACCTGCTTCTATCTTCCAAGTGCTGGGATTAAAGGTATGTGCCACCACCGCCTGGCTCCATTTTATTTATTTATTTTTTTGAGACAGGGTCACTCACTAGACTAGACCTACAAGCCAGCACAGCCAGGAATCCTCCTGCCTCTGCTTCCCTGGCACAGGGATGGCAAGCACACAATAACCCCTTCTGGAACTATTTTACAGATTTCTCTCCTGTGTGAATCCTGAGGCAGACAAGATTCACCTATTTCATACCCATTGTGTAAAGTGCCTTCTATTGCTGCCCTCAAGTTCATTTCTAACACTTCCTAGAGACCCTAGAGAGAGGAGACCTGAGGAGGGAATAGAGAAAGCACCAACATTGTGCAATAAAAATCAGGATTCCCAGACTTCATTGAACATCAACACCCCGGGATGAGGGGCGAAGAGAATTATGTTTTGCAGTAAACATCCAGTTCTGGACACCACACCTACCCAGAGGTTCAGCCTCAGCAGGTATGCACAGAGCCCTAAACTGTATTTTTTGAAGCTTCAGAGACAGCTCTGAAGATGAGCCAAGACAGGGAGCCACTGCTTTAAGGAACAACTGGAAGATCTCCACGCCTACATTGTTTGAAATTCTTCATTTCACTTAGTCACAGGGCCTGAAATTAGCACCCGCTGCTGCAGTTATATTTTGGGTGAAGAGTCCTCCATGAAAAGGATCCAGGTTAAGAGTATCACAAACTCATTTACACCTTAGTACGAGTCACACTACAAGCCTGGAATCTGGGACTGGGAAGAGAAAGAACCAGGCTCTCCCACTGCAGTCCCCATGGACAGGAAGCCCTCAGGGCCATCAGGTGATCCAATCCAATGGCTGATTCAGCAGAATTGCCCAAACTTGGCTGTGCATTGGAATCAATCACCAAGGATGGTTAACAAAACAGATATGTCATGGCCTTACCCTAAATCAATAAAGAATGACATCTGCACTGTATTGGTTAGCCACATGGAGTGTCAGATCAGACCAAGTGGCCATTTGGATAGGACAGCCTGGGCTACATAGCAAAATCTTGTCCAACCCCTCCGCAGCCCAAAGAAGGTGGTTCTGCAGCACAAGGCTTCAAGCGGGGAGGGGCAGATATGAGCAGTCAGAGAGGAGCAGAAACGTGCCTGGATCGATGAAAGAAAGAGCTTGAGACAAAGGAGATGGAAAGAGGAGTGCGTGACCACGGGGGACCCACTGCTAAGCTGAAAAGATGCTTGGGGGTCACCCTGATGGAAGCATAGACTTTTGGGGTATACACGTTCCTGAACCTGTTTTTTCTTTTTAGCTCTTGTTTTTTTACCTCTTCAATTCCTGCTCTAAATCTGTGGTTTATATAGCTTTTGCTTTTTTGGTTTGTTTTTTCTTTTGTTTTTTGGTGTTTTTTTGGGGGGGGGTGTTTGTTTGTCTGTTTGTTTCGACACAGAGTTTCTATGTGTAGCCCTGGCTGTCCTGGAACTCCCTCTGTAGTCCAGGTTGGCCTCAAACTCAGAGATGCACCTGCTTCTCTGAGTGTTCCTGAGTGCTGGGATTAAAGGAATGGGCCACCATTTTGTAAGTGCCTTCCACCCTTTCTGAAACAGGAGAGACCATTTAAAATGGAGCAGCCAACAACTTCAAAAGCTTAGGGATCACCGCATATTTACTTTTACATTCTAAGACTTGGCAAGCAAGACCATAGATCCATCTTCTTGCTGATGATTCTCTGGACTATTGACAGAGATTTCTGACCCCCTCTCCCACCCCCATCCTACAGCCATTCAGCCCCAAAGAAACACACAGAGGTTTACATTAATTATAAACTGGTTGTCCTAGTAGTCCAGGCTTCTTATTAACTAATTCTTATATCCTACATCTTAACCCACACTACTTGTCTATGTTAGCCACGTGGCTTGGTACCTTTATCAGCAAGGCATGTCCCTTTGACACGTCCCTTCCCCAGGCTCCCCCAAGGCCTTGCCAGTCCCAGCAGAAGCCTCACCTGGCCATGCTCACCGGATTGAAGCCAACCAGGACTGGCAAGAAGACTGCTGTGTTATCCGTGCAATAGTCCATCTGGCCTGCCACAAAGGGTGCCTGATGGTAGCAAGAGAGGCAGGCACAATGAAGGGAACGGCTCTGAGTGTTCCCCAAGGTCCACAAGCAACCTGCCCCAGCAGGCTTGCTAGAAATACTAAAGCCTCAGCCAAGACTCGCTGAATCCACATTTGATGTGGGGAAGCATACGCCTTACAGGTACCCCAAAAGTTGCAGAACTATCCTTTCTCTGGGCTATGATTTCCTTGTATAGTCCAGGCTGGCCTTGAACACATAATCATCCTTCTGCCCCTCCCTCCCGAGTGCTGGGGTTACAAGCAAGAATCGCCCAGCTAGGGCTACATTTTTCTTATGTTCCCCCACAGAAATCTTCCAGATGGTGAAGTTCGGAAATGACTGGTCACAGTTGTAATGGCAATGGCCTCCTTGAGGTCAGCGTCCTGTTGAGGTCATCGTCCAACAGCTGGGATCTAACGCTCTGCACCCTGAACTCTTAGAATCAAAACTGTTGTGGGGTTGACAGGAAATCAAACCCGATGTTTCTCATACAAAATATCCTGAGAATCTTGTTAAAATGCAGACTGACCCTTCTGTAGCCTAAGAGCTAACAAGTCCCCCCTTGATGCTAATGGTGGGATGAAACCAGAAGCCAGACTCTTCTGTGAAGGCTCAGACAGTAAACACTTCAGGCTCTGTGGGCCCTATGATCTCTGTCCAACTACTTAAGCCTAGCACAAAAGAGGCCATGAATTCTAAGAAAACACGAAGACTGTGTGCCAGTAAAACGATCCACAATTTCAGGCCGCGGCTATGCTGACTGCCAGCAATGCTTGCTGACCCCTGGACTAGTCTGTCCATCTTGGCTCAATACGCAGTTATCCTTCCCTCTCTTTTCATATTCATAAAAATAGATCAAATCGGTGAAAATTGAAATCAAATTCCTTGCGTAGATTTTCTATTTCCTGGTACCCACCTCAACATTCTCCTTTTCTTTCTAGTCCCACCCCATCCTCATAAAGTCGTCCCAACAGCCTGCATTCATACTTACAGAGAGTCCTACAGAAATGCCTATGACAATGACTCTCTTCTTCCCAGCAGCCACCTAGGAATGGAGAAGGTGTGAGTTAGGGTGACGGGAGCAGGGGGTCTCCTGGAGGAGGTGTGAGTTAGAGCTACAGGGAGTGGGGAGGACACCAGGGTACAAATCTATTGCGTGAGAAAAATCAGGACCAGAGGAGGGGCCAGGCCTTGGTTGAGGTTGGGGTTTTCTAACCCTATGAAAAGAGGCCTCTCTAGTTGAGAAGTATTGGAAAAGGCAGACCTTCTTCAGCTCATCAATCCAGTGTAGGGCACTGTCTTCTGTCCGTTCCTGAGAGGCCACGATAGACCTAAGGACACAGACACAATCAAGGTCAGTGGCACTGGCCAAGAAGCAGAACCCTGTAGCTCATTAGGAAGGGGCACACGGAGAGAACAGGACAGAGAAAAGTTACTATTGAAAGGGCACTTACTGTTTAGCAGGGACCAAGGTAGATATACCACGGAGTTAAAAAACAAAACAAACAAACAACAACAACAACAAAAAAGCAAAAACAAACCTCAAATACCTACAAGGCCAGGTAGGTAATAAAAGTCTGTAAAGGAACCAGATATAAAGCAATGCGGAATGGTGGAGACTGAGGTAGGTTCAATATAATCTTTGACTAAACTCATTCAAATGCAGTTTCTAAAAAATAAAATAAAATAAAATAAAATTGGGGCCACATGCGCAGGTCACTTACCTGTTGCCGCCTGCAATGAGGTATGTGTAAAGAGGCTTTTGTCCCAGGCCTTTCATCAGGTGGTTAAAAGAGACCTGGCCAGGAGGGGAGAGGGTAGGAAGAAGGAACGAGAGAGAGGATGCACTGTGGAGTCTCAAGTTCTAGAGGACTGGGGATGCAGAATGGTCTTTTTAAACCGATACTTCTCCCTAACTTATTTGCAACCCGCCACTTAAAGATGCAGCTTGATTAGTGCTGCGTGTGGTATGGGAATGCTAGCCAGAGGAGGGCGGCGATCTAGTGAGGTCAGAGAAACCGGACTTGCTCCCGGGCTCAGCTTTTGGAAAGGTGGTGGGGAGAGAATATATCTGCGGAGAGAATTTATCTCTAATGAGCTTTATGGTTCTGGGTGACATCCCCAGAAGGAAGGGAGAAAACAGGGAATTAGCATACTTACAGACATGAGGAACGCCATGCAGCCAGAGGTTCCTCCTCCACTCAGTACTACCAGGCCTCCATCTGGCTCCTGAGGAAGGAAAGAGGCCCAGGTCAGGAAGAATCATACTTTCCTTTCTCCTTTGTCAATGACAGAGGAAGACAGAACTCCTCAATCATCATAAAACTGAGCAGGACATAGGCTGTGTGAGGTAGCAAAAAAGAACAATGATTTGGAGAAAGAACTCCTCTTGGCTCGCCTCTCAGACTAAGCTATTCATTAAAATTCTTACTTATTCCAGCAGGGACTTGAGAGCAGTTCTGTCAATTAAATAAAAATAAACAACCAAAGCAGACGCATCCAGCTGTTATTAGGTGGGTACATTCAAGCTCGCTACTGTGAGCATCCTTTCTTTGTTTTCTGGTCTGAGAAGAGAAAAGTGAAAAAAAGACAATAATGCCAGCGTCACAGGTTTCTGTGCAGGCACTGAGTGAGTGTGAAAGTGCATTGCAGGGGATGGAGAGGTGGCTCAGTGATTAAGACACTGGCTGCCCTTCCAGAGGAGCCAGGTTTGATCTCCAGCACCCACATGGCAGCCTCCGGACACCGGCAGCTCAAGTTCCTGATGATCCAACACTTTCTTTGGCCTTCCATGGGCACCAGGTACTCATGTAGTACACAGACATACATACAGGCAAAACAACCATCCTCGTTTAAAAAATAATAACAAAAGTAATAATTTTTGAAAGAAAATGTATGCTGGATGGTGGTGGTACACGCCTTTACTCCCAGTCCTTGGGAGGCAGAGGCAGGCAGAGCTCTGTGAGTTCAAGGCCAGCCTGTGAAACTCTGAGAGTTTCAGGACAGCCTGGGCTACATAGAGAAGCCCTGTCTTGAAAAACCAAAAAACAAAGCAAAATTAGAAAATGTATTGCTGATGATAAAGTATTATTCATCTAGCAATTATCATGACTACTATTGATGACCAAGATAATAATAAACATCCAAAGGGAAGACCAAGATAATAAAGAGTTGAGATTTATAAAAATCAGAAACGGAGACCCAAGAAAGAAGACATTAGAGGGAACAGCAGTGTCTGGATGGGAAGCAGGCGGAGAGTTAGTACCTTCAAGACCTCCTGGACTTTTCCAGCCACTTGCAACATGGTGGTCAGAACTGACTCACTGTACAGTCGCTGTGGAGAGTGGACAGGAATCAGTAGGAAGAAATGGGAGCTAGGAGGGGGGCATGCGATGGCTCTGTGGGTAAGGGGATTGCTGCCAAGCCTGATGATCTGCATTCGTTCCTGTGACCCACATGATGAAAGGACAGACTGATTCCCAAAAGTTGTCCTCTGGCCTCCACACATTTCCCCCATGGAATAAATCCTCCCACCTCACAAAATAAAAAAGGGGGATGAGGAAAAAAGGAAAGAAACAGAGAACAGCGGATTGGAATGGAGGAAAGGGCTCAGGATTTCCAAAATTAGAAACCGTAGTCAGGGAGGGTAGAAGTTGAGATGTGGTTGGCTTAGCATCTCTTTGGCAGTGTCCGAGGTTTGACTGTGGGTCACCTGGTAGGTGGGCACGATTTGCCCCTCCTCCTGGAAGATATCAGCATCACACTGCCCCAGCAGCTGAACAATTTTCTCTGCATCTGCTTTGTCCAAGTTCCGGGTCAGGGGATTGGACTTCTCTGTGATTGGCACAGCTGCTTCATACCCTGACAACTAGAGAGAAGGGGGCACAAGGGCAGGAACAGGAAGCCTTATGCTTGCTGGGCTGGAGACGGGAGTGGAAGTAGGCACAGTATCGGTTTTGGATTTACATATTTCACACACACACATACATACATACACACACACACACACACATACACATGCGCGCCATTCACATACCAAGATCTTAGTCTTCATGTGATGTTCTGAGCCCATTAGGGACGATAGGAAAAGGATGTCTATCATGGGGTGTGTGCCTTTGATTCTAGTATTTGCACAGTGGCAGCAGGGGGATCGGGAGTTTAAGGCTATCCTCAGATATGTAGCAGTTTGAGGCCGGCTTGGGCTATTCCCTATCTTAAAAGCCAAAAAAGAAGAGGAGGAAGAGGAAAGGAGCAGAAGACCACGCTTGAGGCCAGTCCAAATCAGCACTGTTCTAGGCATCAGTGCAGAAGGCTGAAATTGAGAAAGGGCCTCACCTCCCATTCGCCAGGCTCAGGGGTCTCAATCACATGCTG